AGTGCATACTTCGCAAATGAAATAAATAGATTGTCAAAGGGCACAAAGTACGTTCCGTCGTTGAGAAAATTATCTCCATTTATTGACGAACGCGGATACCTCAGGGTGGGGGGTCGAATAAATTATTCAGCGTTACCTTATAACGCGAAGCATCCTCGTTTATTACCTAAAAATAGTAGATTTACCTTTTTACTTATTGAATATTTACATAAAAAATATTTACACGTAGGTCCACGCACCTTACAAAACATTATTAATCAAAATTTTTGGATTTTAGCATCCCGTCGCATTATTCGGTCAGTTTTGTCCAAATGCAAAATTTGTTTTAAACACAACCCAGTGCTCTTACAGCCTGAGATGGCACCTTTGCCAGCAGCCCGATTGATACCTTGTAATGTTTTTGAGCATGTAGGGGTGGACCTCGGTGGTCCGTTCTTTACAAAAGAAAGTTTACGACGAAATGCTAGGGTTGAACGGTCATATTTAGCATTATTTATTTGTTATTCGACAAAAGCTGTACACCTTGAAGTCTTATCGTCGTTGTCATCGGACTGTTTCCTCGCGTGTTTAGACAGATTTGTAGCGCGACGCGGTGTGTGCTCCTTCCTTTATTCGGATTGCGGAACTAATTTCATAGCTGCTAGTAAGCATTTAACCGAAGTACAAAGATTTATGCTCGAACAAAAAAACAATATATTAGAGGGTTGCTCAAAACGACAAATTATATGGAGATTTAATCCCCCTGGTGCACCACATATGGGTGGGCTCTGGGAAGCTGGAATTAAATCCGCCAAGTATCTATTAACGCGAGCCGTAGGAGAAAAAAGTTTGACGTTCGAGGAACTCACAACAGTGTTTTGTAAAGTAGAAGCGATTCTCAACTCGCGGCCGCTTTGTCCGTTACCAGCTAGTGATAATCCTGATGAGTTCAACGTTTTGACTGCGGGACACTTTCTAATTGGAAAAGGGTTAACAGCAGTACCTGAGTATAATGTAGAGGATATAACAATAAATCGATTATCACGTTGGCAATATATTCAAAAATGTTCACAAATGTTTTGGCGTAGATGGAGTCACGAATATCTAAATACGCTGCAACAGAAAGCAAAGTGGCATTCGGATAGATCTAATATAAAAATAGGTGATCTCGTAATCAAAAAAACTAATAATGTACCGCCGTGCAATTGGCCTTTGGGTAGAATTGAGGCTCTTCACCCCGGTCCAGATGGGATTGTTCGTTGTGTTACGCTTCGCACTCAAAAGAGTACTCTACAGAGACCAGTTAATAAACTGAGTCCTCTACCTTATTCAAATTAGTTTTTACGTGTATTAATATTTTTTTTTCTCGTTGAGGACATTCTGTGTCTCAGCGTTATTTTGCATGTTCCGTAGCTTAAGTTATAATATTTTCTCTAATATCTTTTTCATATAGTTAGGAGAAACCATCAAGATGGTTTCGGTGGGGGGTGTGTTCAGTAATAAACCGCAACTCACAAAATTTATACCGAGGCACAATGATCTGCTACGATCGGAGCGCCGGTCACACCTAGTGGCAACATTGCGACGTAATATGCGTTGTAATAATCTGTGAAGTTAAAAAAAAGAGAAGAGGAGGGTAGGAGGCGAGACAAGCTATACACATTCTCTTTGTGTTCGTGATGTGAACATCGCTCCAAAAACTTTAAAAAGGGACTACTCCAGAGTGTACCGTGTACAATCTAATTGCTAGTGTATTCTACCGTGTAGAAGAAGCTACCAGGAGCTGTCAACGTTTGCTGATCTTGGGAGGCTGGCTAGTAAGACCGTGAGTAGTTTGTTGCTGTTTTTGGTGTGATTTTGTGACTGCGGTAACTGAACGTTTCAGGGGATTTAGATTCTCAATACAGTCCACTATATCTAGTAAAATAATCCCAATCCGCCACAAGTATAATATGGGTAATGATTCCTTATGATTACGCGATAAAATCCGTAAAAACTAGTATTACTTAAGTATAATATTGGTTTTATAAAGAAAAACAAAGAAACACACTTCAGATTTTAACGTTTTGACTTTGAATTGCTTTGTAAGAAAATATCAGCTAAAACGAAGTACAGGCGGTATGTAATATCAACAATCGACACAGATCAAACACCACCAAACCAAACGAACTGTGTTATTTTGATCTTATCAATACGGCAAATCATTTGTTCTTTCAAAAAATGGTCAAAAGGCATCATAATTTTCCATCAGCAAATAAAATTTGTACACGCGTATTATTTATGGATTCTGGAGAATTGCCAACATTTGTGGTGAAAGTGAATATAAATAATAATAGCCCAGCATTCTAATTAATAGCCAAGCATCGGTTATTATTCAATCACACCAGTTGTACTTTTAGTTGATTTCATCAGCCTGTCACTGGCATTAAAAATTGTGTCTGTACGTATTTTCCATTGAGATATGTCACTCAAAATTAATCTAATGTTTTGTGAATACATCTTATACTTATTTTTAATAGACTTAGGGATTATTTCATACTATGCTAAAATCATCGTCTCTGTGCAAAAACTTTATATCATCATAATTCAGACGTATAGAAATTTACACTACTAAATTCCATAAATTTTATTCTCGCCTCTTATGCCTATTCGAAGTTTGTATTTCATTCGACATTTATGATGCTAATAGCTACAGTATCGGTGTCAAGCGGTAGTTTAGTTGACCCTTAATTGTTATCCCAACAGTTTAAAGTTTCGCTAGAAACTGCCAGCTATGGGTTATAAGACAATTTATTAATGCGTATAATGAGGTCAAAGCCACTGCAAATGTAGATTTGGTAAAATCATTCACTGGAAAAATATTTTTTAAAAGTTTTAGAGCAATGGGTTAAGCAGGATGAAAACGATGAACACCTTTAAGAGTATGAGTTATCTTCTCTTACCAAGAATTTAAATTTCGAAGGTTGAGAAACATTTGAAGCAACTATTTTTCTTTTTATTCTTCTTCATTAGCTCGTGAAAGTCACTTTTGGCAAGCAGGTCGACGGTCGCAATCGCAAGTATTTGACGCTGGTTATATTAACTAAAACTTTTTAAAATTCTTACATTCTTTCTGGCATTTTTAATGACTATTACTAACTGGACCCCCCGACACCACAGGATAAATAAGGCGATGGATTTTTACAAAAGTCCAGTTTACAAAGGTCCACCCTTACGGACATTTGCCATCTGTGGTTCCTCCAACCTTATAGTCCGATAGAATAGCACATTGATATAACCGGAGAGAGATCAGGTGCAGGACCGACGGCTTTACGTGGTTTCCACATCATTATTTGTATATCTTTACTATGACAACCGTTTTTTTTATATTCAGGACAAGGGTAACAAACGATGTGTGCTCGTTTCCACCTCGTGACTACCTGATGGTAAGAGGTTGCGGTGGCTCATAGACTTTGAGACTTAGACTAAGAGATTATGCATCAAATTACAGATGCGTTGTCACCCGTGAAGAATAAGATGGAATGCCTAGTTTTCAATAAAAAAGGGTCTCTGGTTCTCTACACCCACCATACGAAACATATTAGCTGGTATTCTGTGAGAGCGTGGTCCTTTCCCGGTCGAGCCGACACATTCGTGCTACAACTATACCAGTAATATAACTGCAGTATGGCTCTACCACGTAAAAAATTTTTGTAATTTTCACTATTATTGTGAATGCAATAACACGTGAGATGGATTGAAAGTAAGGTGGTGTGTAATGGTGCCTCTCGGTGATCAACGAGGAAGCATACACAACCATCAACAAATCTTTTCAATCCCACAAATACTGGTAATATGTCCCCTCCCCTCCCCTACTGGTAGTATATCCCCTATCTATGTCCTCACCGACCTCAACTTTCCTGCATCGTAAATATGGGTAATTTGTTAAAGAAATGCATTTTAAGTGATTCCCCGTTTTCTTTTCTAATTTCTTTCAGAAATGTTCATATTGGATATTTTTAACGATCTTATAGTGTTGAAGAGCTCCTTTCCTGCGTAGGAGTTCAGTAATTAGGGTTGGTTGCTATCAACCTCTTAGCTATTTCTGGTGCAAAACAGCAGTACACTTAGTGCTATGTCCCAGTTTGAAGGGTCTTTAGTGTCACCAAGAATGACAACGCATCTGAAGCGCTATTGGTTTGAAGTTGATTGCAAGTGTCCATCGGATGTTAGCTCGTTTATCACTATAAGATTATAAAACAACTAACTGATACCCGCAACTTACACATATTACTGAATACACTTATAAAAATCGATGTTTCTTAAAACTTTAATAACTTAAAAATTTAATAAAATCTGCATTTCAAATATCCGTAACTTTATATTAAATGAAGATATCGCAATTTTTTTTTAGATAAGAGTTGTGTTGGAGAAATAAAACTTAGAAAACCTAATTGAAATCTCTATTCAGTAGTTTATCCGTGATGCGCGCACAACTGCAAACCTCTATCATTTTTTATTTATATAGATATTGTAAGCACAAAAATCAAATTTGAAGAAAATATCCCAAAATAAACGTAAAGACTTATAAAAATAGCATGTGAAAAAATTGCTGGACATAATCAGTTCGCTCGTTCGGAAATGCTGTGCGACGTTGACGGATGAAAGGGAAATGAAAAACTTCAATCATTCTACTCTGTTCCACTTTGCTATTAGAAATTACGCGATACCTTTATGTAGGAACACACAACTATCCTTAATTCATTATAAAGGTGAAATAGACCCTTAACTAATTTCAAACTTTATTTGTATTGATTAGTTCACTATGTTGCAAAATTTCATGCCCATACAGATTAAAAATGCTACAAACTTTGTTAGCGTTTATAATCTTCAACCGGATTGATTGAGATCAACAAACTATTAGAGGTAGGCTACATTTTTGCGCAATTACACTTAAAATTGGAGCACAAGCGTAAAAGAAACATATACAATTGTAAAATTCTACGTTTAAAGTATGTGCCGACATGGGCCCAGAACTTGGTATAGTCGATTACACGGCGCGACCGCGCATGGACGTGCCGCGAAGCTTTTCGACGCGCTTAGCACGCGGTTCGCACTTCGTAATTTAATACGACACTAACATCAAAGGAAAACTTAAAATATAGAGTAACACTGTTTTCTTAAAGATATTATAATTAAAATATTTGGAACATTTTCTAGTTTGTGAAAGAGATAGTGAGCGGTGATACGTGTTATATAAAGGTTAGTATCCGGAAAAGTTTTAGATTTGACATAGGATTAAAACGCGCACTAAGTTGTTTTTCATCCGGTTTTACGAGCACCATAATTCTATAGAATGCTGGATGTTTTTATTCATTTCGTTAACCTTAACCCTTTGGGTTGCCCAATCGAATTTAAATAAATTATCGAAACTAGTTCAACACAACATATTGTTAATAATGTTAATAGTATTGTAATGCATTATTTTGTTTACGTTTACAGTATCTGTTTAGAATTTCGTAAGAGTCGGGGTTTAAAAAAAAATCTATCAGAAACACTGATTGAGTAATAACCATAACAAGCTTGACAAATTTGTACATTAAAGATTTCGATATTCTCTAGCAAAAATAATTACATTCTTTTTACTAATGGAGCCGAAGTAACCGTTTCCATTTTTATTAAATTTCATAATATGTTCGTGCCAGTTATATGTTTTCACGCCGGCATATAATCAATTATCACAACATCCATTTATTGTACGTAGTGACATTAAAAAAAAAACTTATGATAGCAACCAAGTTGTCAGTGTTATATTTTCAACTGAGTTTTAAACTTAGCTTGTATTGTATAATAAACTAGCTGTTCCCCGCGACTTCGCCCGTGTGTAATTTAGGGTTTTCATTTTGTTGCGCGGAACCCCTAATTATTTTTCAAAAATATAAGTAGCCTAAGTTACTCCTTATAATATGAGCTATCTACCAGTGAAAGTCCCGTCAAAATCGATCCAGCCGTTTCGGAGATTAGCCGGAACAAACAGACAGACAGACAGACCAGACGGACAGACAAAAATTTTAAAAATTGTGTTTCTGTTATAGGTACCGTATATACTTTTATATGCAATTAGTAAAAAGCTGTTATTTTGACATTACAAACAGACACTTCAATTTTATTTATTTGTATAGATACTTAGCTGTTCCCCGCGACTTCGCTCGCGTGTTAGGGTTTTAATGCTTTCGTGCGGAACTCTAATTATTTTTTCTAAAATAAAAGTAGCCTAAGTTACTCCTCATGAAATCAGCTACCTGCCAGTGAAAGTGCTGTCAAAATCGGTTCAGCCGTTTCGGAGATTAGCCGGAACAAACAGACAGACAGACAAAAATTTTAAAAATTGTGTTTTTCTTATAAGTACCGTATATACTTTCATATGCATTTAGTGAAAAGCTGTAATTTTGACATTACAAACGGACACTTCAATTTTATTTATTTGTATAGATGTGCCACTCTAGTACTGACTTAATCAGTATGATTGTTATTAATAAGGTTTGATTAATATTAAAATATGCAATGGACATATCGAGGCTTATCTCTTCATACGTGTTTTTGACATCCGTTTTTGCGCATCGAACGGTTGATTGACAACGGCACATTTTTTTCAATCAGTTTCTGGATGAGGACAACTTTTGTACGACCGATTTTGATTAGTCAGGAATTAATAAATTAACTATTGATCATGAGAGGAATATTACTTTTAATTTATTTATTAGATTAGTCGTATTTAAAGTTGAATGAAATGTCGGAAAGCTGACGAAAATCAAACAACTCTTAGGAATCGTAAAGTAAATAGAGAATTCAAAGGCAAAGTAGGTACATACAAGTACAGTCTCATTATCGTTATCATAATAGCCTATCAACGTCCACTTCTGAACATAGACCTGCCCATAGATTGCCTCATAGCGATATTTACCACAGCTGCCACGCTTGGCTGGCGGGTTGGCACACGCAGTTTTTTATTACTTTGAGTTATCAGGAACATGCTGCTACTCATCTCCTGTTTCCGTTTTACTCTGTCGCATCCATATGATGGGACGGCATGGGATAGTGGATTCTTTTACGCTTACATTCTCATAAATTACGATTACCTTACCGTTCATCAGATTGCGGTAAAACTTTGTCAACTTATTGCTTGCACTTGCATGAAGGTTATAGGCGTAGTACAACTAACTTACAGTAAGTGGCGAGCGTGTTGTACCGACAAATTTATTCGAAAGTTATCAGGTATATCATTCAATTTTAATGAATGTATCATCATTGCTAATTAAACAATATAAGTCATCCAAATTTATAACGATATTTCCAAAATCTTTTCTTCTGCGGGAACAACGCGCCGGGTACCGCCTAGTTTTAATAAAAAAAATACTGTTGAAATTAAATATTGACTACACGGTGAGAAATTTGTTTTGTTTTGTCAGGCTTCAACAATATTTTCGTTTTCGCTAAAATCTCGGGATATTAATTTATTAAAGGTTAGCAGCAATTAATTAATTGAAGGTTATATTTTTATAAACGATGTTGTAATAATAGTTTTTTTTATATGTAATGTTATATCTGAGTTTTCTTAAAACTCGTTTTATTCTTGAAGTTAAACGTATACTGAAAATGTTGGTCAGTTTGTCTTGGGAACTCGAAAATAGTATTTAATAGCTTAACTCCTAATCCAATAAAATCAACTCTAAGCTCATTACATAAGTTACATCAAGTCACGCGTTTAGTTTTGCTCAATGGACTTTGCCGTTTTTGTCCGAAATGTCAGTTGTATTTTTTCGATATAATGTAACATTCGTCGATAATGCATTCATTATAAAAATTATATATTAAAATTGCCATAAGCGAGGATAAGACCTTGAAATAGAAAAAAGTAAACTGATGTATAAAGTGTGAAAATGTACCTTCGAAATATTTTTTTCTTTTCTTTACAAAACTTATATATTACGTATACTTCCTATGTTTCTTCACCACCGAGCCGCGAGCACGTGGTTAAATAGCAATTTAAAAAACAATTATAGTAAGTAATTTATAGTATATTCTTACTAAGTCGTAATAAATATTGTACATTTTACTATTTTTAATGTGTAATACATTAGTACAGTGTATTTACATGTAAATACAGAGTATTTACGTGTACTTTTTACGTGGTAAAGCCATGCTGCAGCTATATTAATAGTATAGTTGTAGCACGAATGGGTCAGCTCGACCGGGAAAGGACCACGCTCTCACAGAATACCATTGTAAAATAGCAGCTTAGCTTAGTGTAGAGAACCGAAGACTGGAAAAGAGGCCCTCCATCTTAGTCCTCACGTGTGACAACGCATCTGCATTTTGATTCGTAATCGAGGATAGATGTTTATGGGCCGCAGCAGCAGCTTACCATCAGGTGGACTGTGTGCTCGTTTGTCACCCTTATCCTATAAAAAAGTATGTCCTGCTGAGAATAAGGCTCTGATAAAGATGGCGAAAAATACATTCACCTGTAATACCAAATTTCATAGACTCGTGATGGGAAGCTACCACAGAATAAATAATAATACCTAGTGCGTAGATTTTTTTTTTGCGCTCAACAGCTGGCCCGCCAAGAATGCTTGGCAGCTAACGCAATTTTGGAACGGCCTTTGTCCACCTATGGATTATAGAAAAAGAATATGTGGACCATAGAAAGATTTTATATGTGTGATGTGATTTTCATTATTGTCTTTAATTATTTTTGTTAGTTGCAATAAAATTAGAGGAAGGCCAAATTTCTCCTTGATCTACCATCATCATCATCATTACTGGCCTTCAAAAGTCCACTGCTGAACATAGGCCTCCCCCAAGGAATGCTAAAAAGCACGGTCCTGAGCTACCTGCATCTATCGACTTCCTGCATATCGTACCAGGTCGTCACTCGATCTTGTGGGGGATAGCCCTACTCTTTTCCTGCTGGTGTATGGCTGCCACTCGAGAACTTTTCTTCCCCATCGGTTGTCGGTTCTTCGGGCTATATCATCGGCGTATTGCCACTTCAGCTTACTAATCTGTTGGGCTATGTCGGTCACTCTGGTTCGACTGCGGATATCCTCGTTTTTAAGTTTATCACGCAGAGAAACCCCGAGCACAGCCCTCTCCATATAACACAGGGTATCATTCGTTATTTATCAGAAAAAAAAACAAACGTTTTTGAAGGCTCCGTGGCGCAGTGGCTTAGCAATGAGTTGCTACATTGGGGGGGGGGGGGGGGGGGTACGAATTCCGCACGCGTTCGGGGTCTAGATGTTTGTCCTTGTGCATTTTGTTTGTAAACTGCCTCCACGATAGGAGAAAACCCTAGTGTAGAGGTAACGTTAAAAAGATAAAGATACCCTTTAATATATTTGTGTTTATTTTTAATATCTATACATATAATAAAACTGTAAATAGCAGATGTCTGTACATTTTATATTTTTGTAATAAAAGTGATTGAGGGGTACTAAAAATAAGTAATTAAATACATTTCTACCATTTTTAGAATTTTCTGTCTGTCTGTCTGTCTGTCTGTCTGTCTGTTTGTTTGTTAACGTATCACGTATAAAGTACTAATTTATATCATAAGAATTGTTAAGGAAATTATAAAGTGTATCTTCGGGTTACATTTAGTCTTTATTTCATTAAAATCAGTTCATTCCATCAAAAGTTATGATAAATATTCTGAAGTATGGGTAGGGAAGTATAGGTACGAATTTGCTCAACGGTGGCTTTGTTTGAGTCATCAAGTGCATTTTAAACTAATATCATATCATAAATCATAGTTAAATTATGTAAAATAATGATATAATTATGTATATCTAAAATGCAGTAAACAAAAGTATTAAAGAACGTATTAAATATATTATACAAAAATATATTAAACCTTATTAACTAAATCAGAAGCACAATAGTTAACCCATTTCTTCGATAGATGGTGGTGTAGTGAAAATGTAACAATGTGGTTTTTTCCTGTAGATGAGTTTTCATATTTACTGCTAATCTTTATTATTTTACTCGCTGCCCTATTGCGTGTTGACAAACTCAATTTATTCTTTACCGCCAAGTACTCTATGTGGTAAATCAAATTTTAAAAGAGCTATTAACAATTGCGTTGGTTTTGGCGAGAGTCAAACTTTATTTTTTGCTTACTGTGCAGGCACTGATTTATAAGTTCTCTTGCGTTTTATATAATGTATCAATCGCGTCAATTAATCTCTTTTATTTTT